AAAAAAATGGCATAGACATCAAAGTAAAGAAAGCAATAACACAAGGGATGTTTCATAATGACAAAAGGGTCAATTCTCCAATAAAGCATAACAATTCTCAACAAACCTCTATGTGCCTGACAGAAAAGCTTCAAATATATGAGGCAAAAATTCATAGAACTGCAAGAAGAAATAGATAAACCTACCATTACAGTTGGAGGATTTCAGAATCCCTGTCAGAAATGGACAGATCCAAGAAGCATAATTGAGCTCAACACCACAACCAATCAACTGGATATAATGAATATCCATAGATTTCTTTACCCAACAACAGCAGAATACACGTTCTTCTCAAGCTCACACCAAATGATCACCAAGATAGAGAAGCTGCTAGTCAAAAAAACATACAACAGATTTAAAAGAATAGAAACCATACAATACCTACTCTATGACTGCAATGGAGTTAAACTAAAAATCAATAATAGAAAAACCACTGGAAAATTTCAAAGTATGTGAAGTCTAAATAACACATCTCTAAATAACACACTGATCAAAGAAGAAATGCCAGGAGAAATTTGTAAATATTTTGAACAAAATAAAAAAGGTACTTATTACAATTTTTGAAAAGCAACAAAAATAGTAGAGAATTTTTTTTCCTAATTCTTTATTATTTTTATCTTATTTCACTTTTTTATTAAAGTCACATTTCATTATATTATTATATAAGTTCCAGGTTTTCATGATGAAGAAGCAGTGTGTCTATATACTAAGTTTACCACTGAAAGTCTAAATCAATGTTTTATTAGACATTGTCCCCTGTTTTAGATTTACCTCCTCCCTTTACCTCATCCCTTCTGATAATCATTAGTCTTTTTTATTAATTTATTTTTATTTACTTATGCATACAAGAACTGGGGTATAGGCCAGAGGTGTGGGGGAGTGAAAAGATTCATCAGAGATAGATTGGGGAACAGAACAGGAAGATCTACTGAAATACACTGCTGAGGGGAGCAGCGGGCAAGGCAGGAGAGGTCTGCTGCGCCATGTGGGTCAGTTCCTTGATAGAACTCGTGCTGCAGTGGCTGTGGAGAGCATCATAGTACTGAGACTTCGTCTCTTGCACCACTAGAGAAGCCCACCAC